TAAGTAAATTTATTATATTGTAAATTATAAATAAGAAAATATTTAATTTATTTATAAATATTTTATTAGCCCATTAATGATCTTACATTACTTGAACCTGATTTAAATAAATTTTTTATTTCTACTGAGGAGTGGGACATTATTAAAGAACTGCATCGTGTACTTGAAGTAAGTTCTCTGTTTTTTTTGTTTAAAAATTAAAATTTTATGTTAATAAAAATATGATTGAAATTTTAGAAGTTTTACAGAACCACGGAATATATGTCTATATCAAAATATGTGACATTGTAATCTTCCGTACCTATATATAATAAACTTATCGAACATATTGAGAGTTTACTTGATAAAGAAGATTTAAAGTATTGTGAAATTTCAAATATACGTGATGCTATAAAAAAGGGTTATGAAAAATTAAAAATTTATTATTCAAAAACAGACGATTCATATGCATATACCATTGCAACAAGTAATTTCTTTATTTTTTTTTTATCTTTAATATTCAATTTATAATATTAATAAATTTTTTCTAATTTATTATTCAGTTTTAGACCCGAGGTTAAAGCTTAATTTTTATAAAAAGGAAAAATAGGAAACTGAATTCATTGATCAAGCCAAAAATATTTTTATATATACATATAATAATGATTATTTTGAAACAAATAATATAATTAGTAATGATAATGATGGTGAAAATTTTATTAATGATACAGATAATTTTTTTAATGAAATATTTGGAACTGGTGACGAAATTAATTCTGATAATTATGAAGTAAAAGATTATCTTAATAAACCTGTTGAACATATAAAAACAGAACCTTTAAAATGGTAAAAGGTGATATTAAATTACTTTTGCATTTATTTTTAACTTTTAAATATATATTATTCACTTCATTTTTTAATATTATATGAATATAGGCTAACGAAAAAATCTATTCACGTCTTTCAAGTATAGCTCGTGACTTTCTTTCTATCCCAGGTAAATAATAATTAATCTAATACGATTATTATAATATATCTAATTTCTTATATATTTTTCTCTTATATATAGGTACTACAAGTATACCTGTAGAACGCATTTTTTCTGGCGGAAGTGATCTTATTACAAAAAGACGATCATGCTTAAACTTTAAAAGTATCTAAGCATGTATGTGCTTAAAAAATTGGGTTCATAATTTGTAAAACTAATAATATATAATAATAGTAGTAATAATAATAGTAATAATAATAGTAATAGTATTAATAATAATAACAATAACAATAATAAATATATTTTAGTTTTAAATTTCAATAATAAAATTTTTTATCACAATGAATTTAAATTTGGTATTTTAATGTTTTGGTATATTTTATATGTTGTGTAATATCTTAATTAAGCCGCAAATCCCTTAATTGCATATCAAGTAAATTCGTATAACATTAAAGATTTGATTTTTTTATCAGATTTAGTTTTAAAATCGTTTCTAAAGAAACGTTTTTTCTTTTTTCTATTGCAGGAATGCCAGATTTTTAGTTTTGGACGAATGGCCTTTCAAATAGGTTTTTTTTTTATTTTTTTCTTTAAATGTCTAAAAACGTTTTTAACGAAACGTTTAATTTTTCTATTGCAGGAACGCTGGCTTTTTTGGATTTGGACAAACTGGATTTTTGTAAAGGTATTTTTTTTAGTTTTTATTTTATTTTTATTGTTTTAAAAATATTTCTAATGAAACATTTTTTTCTTTTTTTTTATTGCAGAAACGCCGGATTTTTAGTTTTGGACGAACCTGACTTAAAGTAAAGGTATATTTTTTTATTTTTAATTTTTTTTTGTCTTAAAAATATTTCTAATGAAACTTCTTTTCTTTTTTCTATTACAGGAAAGCTGACTTCTTGGTTTTGAATGAATCAGACTTTCAAAATAGGTTTTTTTTATTTTTTTTTCTTTAAATGTCCTAAAAAACATTCTCACTTTTCTATTGCAGGAATGTTAGGCTTTTGGATTTGAACAAACTGGGCTTTCGTAGAAGTATGTTTTTTTTATTTTTAAAAAAAAATAATTTTTTTTTTTAAAAACGTTTTTTTCTTTTCTATTTTAGGGACACTAACAACTCAAATCTTAGCAAAAATGACTTTATAAATAAAAAAAATAAATGTCATAAACATTTATTTAAAACTATTAAACAATTAAATCTACATGAATTACAGCATTACTGCATTGATATTACGGCATTAAGACACTATAGCATTACAGCTGAATTATAACTTTAGTTTCGGGTTAACATGTAATCAGGTCAGGTCAAACTTGTAACCTGACCCGATACTGAGTCATGAATTTGATAACCTGACCTGGATATTTTAGGTCAACCTGATGGGTCACCTGAATTGACCCGTACCCATGCAGAGCTCTAATTTCTGCATCTAGTGGTTCAATTTTTATGATCTTTACACGGTTGGATTCAGCTAGTGCTTCGATCTGTATTGGTTTTATCCAGATTTTCATCTGGATTGAATTTCATTAAATTTTGCTGGCACTATGAGTTTGGCCGAAATTAGTATAAATTTTTGGGATAATAATACTTTAATGTTGATTTAAATTATAGTCTGTTTAAATCTGAAATTCATAATCTTTCTCAGCCATAATCGTCACATGAAAATATTCAAGTTTTCATCCGAATTGAAGCACTAAATTCAGCTCATCGAGAGGATTCCAATGATATGTATTTCATATTTGTAGCATCAATATTGACAGAGTTATTCATATTTAAAATTTGGTATTAAATAGTCTTATAATTTTTATAGTAAACAATAATTTTAAAATTCAAAGTTAATGATCTCCGCATCCAGTGATCCAATCTTTATGATCTTTACGCGGTTAGATTCAGCTCATCGAGAGGATTCCAATGATATGTATTTCATATCTGTAGCATCAATATTGACGGAGTTATTCACGTTTAAAATTTTATATTAAATTATAATTATAAAAATCACATGACTATGATGTAATTTCGACCATTTCGACTTTAATTTCAACTTTTGACCTTTCCAAGTCAAAATATTTCTACTTTTGGGCTTTAATTTCGACTTCATGTATAAAACAAATCCAATAAGTTAACTGAATATAAGTAAATTTGTAAAAATTTTTTTTAATTAATATTTTATTATATATTAAAATTAAATATTTATTAATTACACAAAATTAATAACTTTGCAAACTTTTTTTAATATACAAATAGCTAAAAAGATATATAGATTTAAAAAATTTAGTAAATAATGGCCAATTTTATTACGGTGCAGAACCTCTATAATAGGAACTTAAAAAAATTTAAATAAAATTTGATTTTATAATTGGATTTTAATTTTATAAAAAAAATTAAACTCTATTTATTAAAAGGAATTGATTTATAAAATAAAAAAAAAGTCTCAATTTTTTCAGATTATGTAAGCATCATGTGATACATATATTAACCAATCAGAAATTAGGATTTTATAAGTTATATGATATAAAATTTATATAATATATTTATTTATTGTATTTCATTATAAACTGATGAATTAGGTATACAATGATGAGATTTGTATTTTATTATATGTATTTTTTGACCTGAACTGTCTTTTAAATATTCACTTGATGGTATATAAATTATCATCTATAACATTAAATTGACCTATATTTAAACAACCTTATTCATTAAATCTTTTTTTGCAGTTTTAAAATTTTTTTTCTTCTTAGCATATTAAAAAAAAATCTGTACATTAAATGTAGCTAAAAAAACCTGTAATACAAAAATTTAAACTAGTCTCAATTTTGACTAAATTTAATCAATATATTTAAATTACAGATTTTTAAACAGCTAAAACTCAGCCAAAATTTAATTTAGAAAAAAAATAACCGATAATTTTTAAAGCTAATGGTCATGTCTATAAAAATTATTGGTTAAATTTTTTACTTTAATATAAAAAAATTTTTTTTTAGAAATTTATAATCAATCAATTGTTACTATATATAAGTAGTTGAGTATAGAGGTTCTGCACTATAGTTATTTAGCTAAAAATAAATAAATAATTATAAACATAAAGTTTTATAATTCATTATTATGGTTTGCATTATTAGATAATAAATGATTTAGTAAATAAGTATATCTCGAATTAAAGGATAATTTCCAGAATTTATTGGATTTATTATAAAAAGATAAATTTAAGTTTGATTTTAATTATTTAAAGAAAGTTAAATATTAATTTTACAAAAAAATTACTATAACTAAAGTTTTTATAATAAATAAAGGTAATAAAAATATTAATTTTTTAAACTTTATATTATATCAATTAATATAATTAAAAGTTGGGAATGTAAGAATCTATTATGTTCTATCCACCAATTTTTGATTGTTTTCTAATATAGTAGATAACATAATATAAGGCAAAGGAAATTTTTAGGTTTTCAAAACTAACTATTTATAGTACCTACCTAATACATTTAAACAATTTTGATTAAAAAGAAGGATTATTCTTGGCGTTTTTTAAATAATATTTTTGGCTGGTGATCATGTGATCTTTTCCGGGATATTTTAATTAATATGAGGCGTTTAAACTTTTTTTTTCAGGAATACGGTATCAAAGATTCAAGTATCTAGATTTAAACTCTAGAATACGCCCAAAAAAAAGGCTGTTTGTAAAAATGGCAAATTCAGAAAAAAAAATGTGAAAAAAAGAGAATTCGATAAATTGCCATTCCAATTTCCAAATAGAAGAACGGAATGCCAACCCCTTTATGGTTGATCACATAGTAAATTTACCAATTAACTCAATTATATTCACGTGAATTCATATTTATACAAGCTCTTTCAACTTCCCGTTTTGAAGTGAATCTTTGCTCTATGGACTTTAAGGTCACGAATTCGCAATTGCGACAAGTCTCATAAATAACATTTTGGATAAACTGGATATTGTAGATAAAGATATTAATATTTATCTCGACACTTTGGAAAGCTCTCTGCAATCAACATAATCTATAATTTATTACTATGGCAAAAGAGACAACACAGCCCAAAAAGGACATTATTAATTGTAACGATAATAAAAATACACACCTTTCAAAAGACACAACAACACCCTTTACTTCTACTTCAACAAATGCGATTGATAACAAGAATAAAGATAAAATCCCTTTACAAAACAACACTTCCTCATTAACTTATAATATGCTGCCACGTAATAATACACTAATATCAAGTGAATCTTCAGAGAGTTCAGAGGATGAAGAATATGTGACACCATCAAAAGAACCATATGAAAATAAATATATTAAACTTACAACAATTGATGCATTAGATTTCTTGTCAACTGCTGATGAAATTAATACAACAAATTCGGACGCTATTATAAGTATCATTCGCAAAGCTACAAATTTAACCTTTATATTCTGTATAGTTTCTTCAGCACTTGCTGCCTTTATTTCAAGATTAGAAAGCAATTTAGGTTTTTGGTTCTTTTATCTTTCTTTGACCAAATTCTATTCTTTATGTACCTTGCTTTGGGTTCATTACCTTTATAGATTAAATTCGGAATCATTATCACTTAAGGACACAATCAATGTTGCCAAAAAGGTTGCAATGGGAATTTCTATCAGTCAAATAATGTATCAGCTTTTAACAAATAGTGTTGAAATTTACAAGAATCCTTTGATATATGCGAGTTCTGCCATTGGGTTTCCTTTTTTTGTACTTTTTGAGGAGATTCTTATCGCTTATCAAAAAGAGAATTCGATTAAACGGGCATTGTTAAAAGAAGAACGAACAAATTCGCAAATATCAGTTTACAAAGCAATCGATCGTTTTGGTGAAAGAAAAGGATTATATCTTCGCACTATTTCTAATCAATTGCGACAAACCACTGACCTGGCAGTAGATACTTTAAAGCAGTTAACTCCATCTCATTTCCTTTCAAAACCTCATGAACAATTATCAGCTTGTTCGATCTCATTCCCCACTGCTTCTATAAATGCTATTCACAATATTTTAAAGGATATAAATTATATTTCTACCCATTTAGGAACTTTATCATTATTATTATTTTCAGAACAAGATAATCAAGGAATTTCTCATGTTAAACGAGAATTTGACATTGGTGAAATCATACAGCAAGTTGGTGATGTTCTTGCCGGTGATGCATGTAATGCCAAAGTTGAATTGGTTATTTATCATGTGGAGTATGGTTTAAATCATTTAAATGTCATTGGCGACGAGGCTGCTTTCAAGCATGCTCTATTGGACGTAAGTAATTACATACGGTATTGGAAGCAAAAAAAAAAATTTTTTAATTTCTTATTTTATTTGTTTGTTTATTTATTTTTTTTAAAAAATCTTTTTTTACATAGCTTCTTAAATGTATAATTGATGGTGCTAATCCTGGAGATTGTATAGAATTAGGATTACAAATACGTTTATCGAATGGATTGGAATCTCATGGTTCAGAAAAAGAACGTAAAATTAATCCATATGATAAAGTCAGTTGTACAATAGAAATCATTCACAATGCAGGAAATACTGGATCAAAAGAGTCTAAGCGCAACAATATATTTCCTAATGCAAATTTGACTCATAAAATTTTAAGTTTCTTGGGTGCTGAGCTGAGGGTGGGAGAAGGACTCGAAATCATCATCGAGTTAGAGGCAGGATCACCCCTCGCACCACCTAATGTACCCAAAGTAAATGAAGAAAGTCTTCGACGATATCCTCATTTACGAATAACTGGAGAGCCTTCTGTTGAAGAACTTATCAAAACTTCACAGAGTATGAAGGAACAAAGAGTTGCTTTGCATGCTACGAGCAAAAGTTATTTTGCTAAACATATTACTAGCTGTTTGACTACTTGGAGTACTGATATTTCGCATGTACCTATAGGTGGAGAAGAAGAATTCGAAACGCCTCGTTCAGAAACGCCTTCTCCTTTAGAAACTGATACTGATACTGTACTTGGTGATTCAGATGTAGCATCAGAAGAACAAAAAAATAGTGATTTGCCACCTACTTTTATAATAATTGATGATGATATTGATACGCTTAAACAACAACTTACTCATATAAGAAAAGTACCATTCCAATTAAATGCAATGACAAATCTTGCAAAACGACAGGGTCAGCCACCTAATTCATCATCACGAACTACTGCTATAATACATTTCACTTCACTTTCAAACTATAAGTCAGTAAAGGATGTTCTTCAATACATTATTTCACCAGCAACAAGTCCTTTTAATTTGCCGCAAGTTTTAGTAATTCCTAAACCAGCTGGTCCGAGGCGCTTTTTAACTGCGCTTCACACAACCATTAATAGAATAGTGGTTGATCCTGTTTTTATGCCTATAGCAACATCTCCTATGAGTCCAGGTCAACAATTGAGCGGGTTTATTAATGGTACAGAGGCAAATCCTATGGAAAATGTAATTAGGGACACTAAGATTACAGAATCTCCCGGAAATTACTTCCCTTCAGATGCTGCCAGTATGTGTCAAAATGACACATCTTCACCAAACACGAATATTACAAATAGTCCACTTAGTCCAAGACCTAGTGGTAGCGGTAGCCTATTAGTTATTCCACCAAAGAGTATATCAAATCCTCAAAAAAATGTGATTAAAATAGTAGGTTCAACCTCTCCTGGAAGAAATGGACCTTTTCAGAGTACTGGACCTTTATCTCCAACACCAATTGGAGTAAGAGGTACTGGAAGTCCATCCAATGCTGGTAGTCCTGCAGCTAATTCCAACTGTAATCCAATACAACCGGTTTCATCACCCCCTCCACCATCTCCTTCATTACAAAATCAACCTTCCGCACAATCACCTCGTAGACCAAAAAAACCAAAAAAGAAGACCAACACCGATACTGTAATACCACCAGTTAATGTCTTGATAGTTGAAGGTAAGTTTATATTAGTGTCATGTTTGTTGTTTTAATACATGTTACATATCAAAATAACTAAAATTGTGAATAACGTATTTAATACCAGATAATCCCATTAATCAAGCAATTTTGTCAACTTTCATGAAGAAAAAGAAGATTAAATATGAGTGCGCATCTAATGGACAAGAAGCCGTAGACAAATGGCAAAAGGGAGGATTTCATTTAGTTCTGGTAAGTAAAAAATAATTTTCTTTTGTGATTTATTAAAAATATTCAGCAAATTAATATTAAACTTCTATTTTATTTATGTAGATGGATATTCAACTGCCTGTAATGGATGGAATAGAAGCCACTAAAAAGATAAGAGGTTTAGAAAAATCACAGAAAATAGGAGTTTTCCCTTCAACGCCTCCTTCTGCTTCATCTACACCTGTTTCTACACCTATGAAACAAACCCCTCCTTCCACACCAGACTTAGGTTTAATACCTGTTATTATCGTAGCACTCACCGCTTCTTCGCTACCTTCCGACAGGACGAATGCATTGGCAGCAGGTTGTAATGATTTTCTAACTAAACCAGTTAGTTTGGTATGGTTGGAAAGAAAGATTCAAGAATGGGGATGTATGCAGGCATTAATTGATTTTGATGGTTGGAAAAGATGGAAGAGAGATGGTGAAGAAGCATTGAGAGAGAAAAGAATCGAGTCGACAACTATTGTTGGTCCTGGCGGAAATAAGTTTAATATTCTCAACTCTGGGGGGAGTAATGTCAAGTTATCTAAAAGTTTGAAACTGAAACAAAAACAAAACTCACAAGTTAGAAATAATCTCGCGAGTGAGAATAATGATAGTGATAATAAGACTAAGTCTACTATTACAACCACGACTTCAAGATCGAAATTAGTGATAGAAGAGTCATCATCAAATTTTCTTGATTCGACCAAGGATAATAAAATTAATACTTTACCGTCAACAACTTCTCCACCTCCAAGTGGAGATGTCAACAATTCACCTGCAGGCATGGTGACATCACCTCCACCAATAGTTGTTAAACCTAGTACCCCTCAATATAATAGGGAATCCAATAAAACTAGTAATATTAGTCCAATATCTACGAACAACATGAAAAATAATTTAATAAGCAATAATTCATTAACAATCACAACAAACACTTCAACCCCATCCATGACTAATACCACAAATGAAACATCTTCACAACCTTCAACTCCATTATCAACATCAGATCCTCAAAAAACAGGAAGAAAGAGAGGAAACACTGTCTCTTCGATAAATGGTGTGAATCTAAGTGTTGGTGATCAAAATGGTAATAGTCTCATGTAATAATATAAAACATTTTAATTATATTATTTATCTGTTATATATTATTATTTTATTTTGATTTTTTTTTTCTTTTTTTTGTTGTAAAAAAATAATTTTATATTCGTGAAAATGGAAGACTTCATTTTCAAATATTTAATCAACCACTGCAAATAATTAAATAAAATGTTAAATACAAATCCGTTAATAGATAGTTTAAATATTGATTATGATATATTTAATTAATTGTTTAAAAAAAATATAATATTAATAAATTTTTTGTCAAATGTTTCAAAATGAATTGAACCATAAAATCATAAGTTTGAAGTAACTTTTTATTTTTAATTAATATTGACGCGTTTTCACACTTCTACAACTTATTATTTTCTCTGCGAAAACATTTAAATAATTTATCTCATATAATACTTTTCTTTTTTTCCAAAAAAAAAGTAAAAATGCCCACACATAGTTTCGTAAAAATGTGTTAGACTATCATAACTGTGCCACATGGTGATTTGTATATAAGTATATAACGATCAATACGATTAATATTACACTTCTTATTTTCGAAATGGCTACAATATCACCCCAAGTTCTTGTTTTATTTGAAAACTTAAATAAACGTCAGTTAGAACTAGAAAATAAAGTTACACAATTGAAAAATGTAATAATCTTGTTAACTCAACAAGAACTTGCTGCAGAGATTAGGAATGGTGTAAAAGAACTCGAAAAGTGGATAGAGGTGAGAATTAAAATTTTATTTTATCTTAATTTGGTACATACCTATATACTATATGTAGTATATATGGTATATATATATATATATATGAATTCTATTAATTCAATTGATTATATTAATTCATTTCATTCATAATTAATTCATAATTAAAACAAGTTCAAAACAAGAAAGCAAAAATCAAATATTAATTTGAAATTTTATTGTTAGGATATAAAGGAAATAGCAGAAGAACAGGAAACAGATAAAGAGAAACAAGTTATTATGCAAAAGTTACATAGAAATGAGGAACAATTCAAACAGTATGTTGTTTGTATAATAATTTAAAAGTCGTTTTAAAAGTTCTTTCTTTTTTATTTGTTAAATAAATAAATTTCTTAATAAAGATTACAAGTATCAATTCGAAGAGCCATTTTAACATCTAAACAAAATATTGAAAAAGAAGCTAAAATAGAACGTGAAATGTTATTAGGTCGTGGTCATGGTAAACAAGAAGTATTTGAAATGAGAAGGCGTAATCTAACGTGAGTTAATTATGGTTAATCTTTAATTTGGATGTCACAAAACTAAAATTTCTGTTAATTTCTTCAAATTTATTTTTGTTTTATAGTTCAGAGGACACACTTTTACATTCTGCAAGTGATGTCACAGAATCATTACGACGAACGACTCAATTGATGGAACAAGAAATCGAACGAAGTGCCTATTCAGCGAAAATACTTGGTAAATGAATTGATTTTTTATAATAAGATATAATTAATATGTTTACTGAAAATGTTGTCTTTTATAGATGAATCTTCTCGTACGTTAAAGACGACTTTTAATGAATATAGGGGATTTTCTTCAGTGGTACGCAGTTCAAAACAGCTGATTACGAAATTGGAACAAAGTGATTGGACAGATAGATTACTTATCCTCTTTGGTTTATTCGTGTTTCTGCTTGTTGTAGTGTACATTCTAAAGAAGAGAGTGTGGAATACTGGGTTCGGATGGGTATCTTGGTTTGCATCTTGGATTATATGAAGAGGATTTTAAAATTAATAATTCGACTTTTAATTATAAAAAAACTTTTTAATAATTGTAATTTAATTGAATTTCTGAAATTGCGTTAAAATTTCTTCGTAATCTTTATTAATTGGAACAAATGGAGCAGTTGGAATAATTAGAATAGTTAAAAATAAATAGAATAATTGGAAAAGTTGAAATAGCCAATAAATTTTAAATCAACAAATGAAAACATATAACGGCTATTAACTTGATTTAAAATTATTAAATTTATTTTTAATTATTATTAAGTATTAAAAAAAATAATATTAAAAAATCTAGTTCTTATGGTCTGAAATTGTCCTTTTGAAAGTAATAATGATAAGTTGATTATTATACTGAAAAACTTTCACCACATCCACAATTTTCTTTAACATTGGGATTATTAAATACAAACTTAGATGATAATCTGTCCTTTACATAATCCATTTCACTTCCGATGAGTTTAAAAAGAGATTTATGTTCAACAAGAACCGTAACACCTAATAAAACATAATTAATTGTCTAATTCCATTTAAATTCAAAAAAAGAAAGAAAGAAAGAAAAAAGAAAGTAGTAATAATAATAATAATTATTGCCAATTGACTTACCATCTTGTTTTACTATCTCATCATGTTGTCCTTTCTCTTTGGTATATTCTAAAACGTAAGATTGTCCAGCACAACCTTTGTTCTTAACAGCAACACGAATTAATTTAGGATCAGGACCTTCAACTAATTGACGAAGTCGATTTACTGCTGAAGGAGTCTTAATAAATTCGAGAGTAGTATAAGAAATTATATATAAATATTAAATATATAAATAAATATATATTTTAAATAAAGAAGAAAAATATCGATATTATACCAATGTCATTGCCGCTTTCTGAACGCGACCTTTTCTAGAAGCCGCTACTGAAGCTTCGGCCATTTTAAGAGCCATTGATCGAATTGCTGTTGCAGCTGTCATGTTGAAAATGAAATGTAAACATTTAAAAGAAAAGGTCTAAATTTAAAAACCTTATTATACTTATTATGAAAGAAAAATCGTAAAGAAAAAAAATAAAATTCTAATGGTTATAATGAAATGAGTCTTAATGAGTCTTGCAATTCAATAAATTTTTTTTTTTGATTTATAATATTACCGAAATTTCCGTATATTTATAGTATTTCAGATCATGCTGATTATGTAGATCAGTTCGATCATCAAATTTTCATTTCGAGATTTTTTTTTTTAAAAAAAAAATGGTAAATTTCTGAAAATTACGAATAAAGAAAATGTGAAATGTAATTTAAACCAATTCTTTACTTTTTTTTTAAATAAAATAAAAATTAGCCAAATAATAAACGACATACGTTCAAACAAATCAAAAATAAGAAATCAATAATTCACCCTTCTAGTCGAAAAGCAGCTCAACTTCAAAGAATATCTTTACGTAAAGATCGGTTAGAAAGGGGTAAAACTCAAAGATTATCAGAAAGGGTTAAACCGATTGGTTTGTTTTAAATTTCTTTTATGTATATCATCATGAAAAAAAAAATTTAATAAATTTTTTATTTTTTTTTATTAGTCGAACGTTTATTATGGTTTAAGTATGCATTTGACGATACACTCCCGTGTGCAACAAAAGCTGAAGTTTATGATTTAATCGAAATGTAAGATTTATTAGCTTGTTAAAGTAAATTTTATTAATGATTCATTGATCTAAAAGTTCATTTTTTCATTATTATTCATCGATTTAAAAATTTATACTTCAATTTTAAAAAAAACAACAGGTTTATTAATCGGAATGATGACGAGATATTGAGATTAAAATCAACACATAAAGTCAATTCATCTAAATATTTTTATTTAGAATCATTGAAATTGAAGGAGAAAAAAGAATATATAGAAGGTTTTGGTAATGTTTAATAATATTTAAGGTTTTTTTTTTTATAATTTGTGTAAAAGTATATTAATGACTAAAACATATCTAATTATTAAACGTTTATTTATATTTTAAAGAAATTCCAGATTTTATGAATCCGAAAAATGTCAAATTATTAAGGTAATACATATATAATTATATATGAAATCAATTTTAATTTTTTATTTACAAATATTATATTTTATATTTTTATTTTTTTTTTACAGACAATGGGATGGGGATATTAATTCTATGACAAGAATTAAAATTATAAGAATAGAAGATCCCAATAATATAAATAATTTAAGAACTACAGCACAAATTATTGATGAGAAAAGAAAATTGAATGAAAAATTCAAACAAATCAAACAAGATTCTCTAGAAAATATTATGGGAGATTTTAAGATGAGTCTTGAACAAGTGGATCTTAATGAACAATCAAATATTGATGAAATTGTTAATTATAATTTACTTGATGATATTAATGAAAAATTGATAATTTAATAAAAATCCGCAGTTATATAATCGACTCTACGATTCTAAATTTTTTGTGTTTCGAGTATTTTAAGTATTGACAAGTATGATGAGTATTTCAAGTATTGATAGGAGTCCATTTACAGTTCACCGACTCCAAATTCCAGAAAAATATATTAAGTATATTTGTGTACAATTAATTACAAACGTCTGGTTACGTTAGGGAAATTAGTGGTACATGGATATAAATTATGCACAAATTTAATTTGAATTTTCGGTCAAATCATCCCTTATTTTCGGACGGGAAGCCCTAAAAAGAATTAATTATTATATTATGTTTATATTTGTATCGAAGTTCAAAAGATTGGATCACGTGAACTCTTAAAATACGCGTAGCAATACGAAAGAAAAGATGAAAATTTTTAAATAAAACATTAGACATAATAAATTTAAATTTATTAATTATTATTTATTAAATTATTGTCTTTTTTTTTCATTTATAAATATATATTATATGTTTGATAATCGTGCAAGTATATAACAAAATTTTTTGTAAATTAAGATAAAATTAAAATGATAAATTATAAATAAATCTAAAGATACTATAAACAAGTGAGTGTATGTATACAACAAATTAGTAAGTGTTTTAAAAAATGGGAGATTTTTTTTTTTTAAAAGAATTAATGATGAAATTAAAATGAAAGGAAGTGATTAAAGTCCCAAAAAAAAACACTTTTTTTTTAAAAAGTAAAAAATGAATGAAACCAAAGTCCAATTAAGTTTCCCACCCAAATAAAATATTATAAAAGTCTTTTCATGAAATAATTCCCTTTTTTTAATTTCATGATGATCGAATATTTGATATACTCGAACGAATATCTCTTATAAGTTTAGCCATTTTTTCACCAACAACCATATGTTCAACTTTACTTACACGTGAAGCTTTTACCAAACTTATTTCACCCATGACTTGATCGTAACCTTCAAATTCATCTTCTTCCATAACATCATCATCATCACTCCTTATCTCTCTTAAATGCATTAAATTTGAAATATTTGAAGGTGCCCATAAATAATCACATAAATGTTTTTGTTCTATTGGAGCCAAAATATTTTTCGCTATTTGTGATATAGGTTCATCCAATGATTCATGAAGTACTATTGGAGGTGAATTATTGGTATTTGGTAATAAAGGTGGTATCGATGGTAAAGGTGGTAAAGATGATGATGGTGATGTAGGTGTAAGAGGATTTGGTGAAGTCGGACGAGGTGAATTTGGATGTGATTTTGATGAAGGAGATGAGGGAGATGAGGGAGATGAGGGAGATTTTAATCGTTTGTTCATATGTAAAGTATGAAAATGAGCATGTTCAATCTTGATAACATTTAACATACGTAAAGTGTAATCAAGAGCTTCAGGAGAAGTTATACGTTTTGCTCTACCTAATTGATTAATAGATTCAAAAACTGAAACGAAATGTTCAAGGAAAGGAAAACATTTACTATCTTGTCTTGAATCTGGTAACATTTTAGAACAAGCACGTTTTGATGATATAGCATAAGATTCAAAATTTGAAATCCAATTATTAAGTATACGAGAATTACTAAATATTGAAGGAGGAGAAATTGAAGGTATAGAAGGGAAATTAGAAGTTATAGGGGAATTTTCAGAATTTGAATGAGGAGGAGAAGGTAAAGATATTGAAGGAGGAGAGTAAGTAGATTCATTTTCATAACGTAAACGAGGAGAAGCGGAAGAATCAGAAGAAATTGAAGTATCACTACGATTAAATTTGTGAAGAGGAGAAATTGGTTGTTTAGAAAAACTACCACTACCATTTGAATTAGTTCTTCTACGAGATCTACGACGAGAAGTACGACGTGAAATTGGAGGAGTTCTTTTTGATTTAGTAGTAGATTTTTGGGAAGGAATATCCAAATAAGAAAAAGAATTTGAATTTGAATTTGAATTTGAATTATTTGAATTTAAAAGAATTTTATCATCAGGATCAGTAAATTTTTCATGTAAATTTGGATAAGCCTCAATTAATCTTTTCATCATTTCCTTATTATTATCACGATTACATTTTTTTACCAACCATTTCCAACAAGCTTCAATACCTTCATAAAAACCTATCTCACAACATACAGATAAACAACCTACACCTTTTGTTAAATTATTTGCCAATTCATTATCCCAATTTTTTGTATACATTAATTTTAAAGTACAATGAAAATTTATCATATCTTCTTCAATGACATGAGAAGGTAATCTAACAATAATTTGTTTTTCTTTAATTATATTTGAATTAGGAGAAGTAGGTACAGCGGCCGAAGTTACGGAAAGTTGATCTTTAAAAAATTGAGATTGATATAATACGAGAGAATGTAAACGTAACTCTGAAGGTATTCCAGCACTTGAAGCCAATACTCCACGATCTTCAAAAGTTAATCTAACATCACTATACATTTGACCATTTTGCCAAAGTAATTCGCCCACACTTTGATAATATTTTGGTCTCTTATTTCTTGAAGGTGAAGGTTTATTATTATGACAAAATACCTCATCAAATGAGGCGAAAGGATTTGCAGTGGAAGAATTTGATTGTTCCATAAAATTAAAATTTTCTACTGAAGAATTTGAGTGAGATTCAAAATCAATATCTTCCTTTATAATAAGAGGTCTTCTATCTTCTTTGCTCGTTAATAAATTGTCTGGGGACATTTATAATTCGTAAAAAAAAAAAAGAAATACACACAAAATAAGGATGAATTTAAGAGCGAATTTAAAAAGGATTAAAAATAAAGGATTACAGATTAATTACTAAAGAAAGATTGAAATAAATTCTTTTGAATTAAAAAGGAGAAACGTATTTGTTATGTGTGTGGGAATTCTTTTTTTTTATTTTTAAAAAAAAAAATTTTTTTCTTTTCGTCTTGGTTCGTTCTTTACAATTTCGTGGGATAATCTTAATTCGGAAATGAATGGCAAAAAAATCAAGTATAATAAGGTATAATAAATTATTTTAAATTGAAGGACCGAGACCAAATAGAATGCATGTATAAAAATGCGCTTGTACAAACTAGGCGTAACTAATTGCGTATCTTAATAACAATTGTCTGATTTTAGTTAAAAAAAAAATATGACGACCTATAATAAAAAATAAATAAATAACATCATGAGAAGTAAACTTAAAATAGATGTCAATTATGCAGTGTCATGTCGCATAATTTCAAGCCTCTCATGGCTTTCAGAAAATAATAAATAATAAAAAAAATTCAAACGCGAAAAAAACTTGGAATATATATATAATATATATATAATATTATAAAATATTATACATAATATATTATATAACTGATATATATAATTATATAATTAGTATATATAATATAAATATATTTTCTACTAAGCATAAATTTAACATTGGCCAATAATAATATAATAATATAGTAAATCAAAACAATCAATTAAATAAACTAGGTAAAGACAATAATACTCTCTATACTTAGTTGAGTAATATTCTGCATGACGTATATTATTCTTTGTCACTCTTTTAGATCACGCGTTACACTTTAAACATTTACGGGGTACCAATTACGGAAAATTCAAAAAGTAATCTGATTTTCAGTATTTTCAATGTCCATTTGTCCATTTAAACTATATATAATATGACAATCAAAGCTGATGAGTAAAAACTCAGCAAAAGTCCTTTCAAAGCCACTTAAGACAATTTAAAAAAAGTTTAATTTTTAATATTCATAATTTTTTCATTGTTTTTATTGTTTTTGAAATTATTTTCAGAATTTTTTTTTTTTTCTTTTTTCTTTTTTTTTTATTTATCCTTTTCCCCTATTTTCCTATTTTTACCCCGTAGGATATAATAAATATAGGGAATGTAGGGAATTGAAAAAAAATTTTATTTATTATTTTCAATAATGACAAATTTGTAATTAATTTGTAATATAATAGGTTATATTTATGATCACAAAGAATGTTGTATGATAGATGATAATTTGTTAGTTTTATTTTATCGATCAAAAGGAAAGATTTTCGATTGGGAAACTAATAAATATATCAAAATCACGTTTTTTATTAATAATTTTACAGATCGACAAAACAAACCCCAAACCATAATAAATCATTTCGTTCAAAAACTTTTTAAAAAAAAATAAAAATAAAAAAAAATTTTTAAAAAAAAAAAAATTTCCCAAGCCATTTAAAGCCATTAGACAGATCTGGATAAAAAGGCTTGAAAACAGATTTAAAAATTAAAGATACAAAGATACACTTGAATAGTACAAAGATAAAAATAAATCCTTAGTTATAAAAAGGGATAGTTGAATTAAAGGAGAAATTCTGATTAAAAAAATAATTTTCCTTAAAAAGATGAATCTAATCTTAAAATGTCGAAATGGAAAATTCTTCTAATAAACGAAGAAAATATTTATTATATAACTTTTCCAAATAGTGCGAGAATAAATAAAAGAGTAAATAGAATAAAATAGAATAAATAAATAGTCCAGAGTCCAGACGTAGTGCAAATGATAATCAAAAATTTATTTTTGTTACATTAAATTAATTACGTAAATTTATATTATTTATTATATTTATTATATTTATTATATTTATTGTTAAACTTACAAACTTCCCACCCCCCCTCTTACAAAGGTCAAGTGTTTCCTTGTTTATTAGTCCGCGTCGCGTGAAAGTTGAAGAATATATTTATTTTTTTTCTTTTATTCTAATAAAACAATATTCGTTTTCTATATTATTCAGGGTATTATTATTAAATTGATCTTCGCGCGTCATGTAATCAATCATGGTACAATTGTTACACGTAAACATGTTACCCTGCACAATATATTCGGTATTTCGGTCATGAGAACATTCGTAGAATTATTTCGTCCTGTCTCTTCTACAACATTATAACCTTAATATCCTTCCCTAAATAATATCAATTCGTTTAGAGTTTAAATTATAATTATAATTTTATTTTTATAATATTAGAAAATTTTTATTGTTCATAATAATAATGGTTTCAGATTGATCAGGATTCAGGATATTTCTTTGTTATAAAAAAGGTTTATCCGATTCCAAAAGAAATTATATTTTTTTTTTTCTCGTTGTCACACAAAAAGTTCTGAAACGAGAATTTCTCTCTCTTTATATTTATTATTATATATATTATTTATTTATATGTAAGAAAAAAAAAAAAATGCATGCATATAAAGATAGAATAACGGTTAAAAATCTGCTGCATGTGTGTACTGCATGCATACCATCTTACTAAAACAAATGTTATAATTTGATGTGATCAATATTTTTCATGACTCATAAAAAAAGAAATATTTGTTTGATACCGTTACTTACATAATTTCATTATTCGTTGTTTTTTTTTATTAAAAAATTTCAAAATCCAAGGAAATAACAAATGTTATTCGTCTTCATCGCCAATTTGCATTTTTGAAATTAGTTCGTAACCGAAAAAAAAAAAAAAAATTGAATTATTTTATGGTTAACAAATCAAAATCCTTAATTAAAATTTACCAAATTAAGAAATTAAGAAAAAGATTGGCTTAAACTAAATTCAAAGAATAATGGAAGCATTTAAACATGATTTTTCCGCCTTAAAAAAAAATAATTTTTTTTTTTTCCCATTATTTTATTTCTAAAAATGACTAAAAATGAATTCATGTGTATTATCAATCGTTTAAATTTTTATAACAATAAAACTTTCTTTTTTTTTAAAAAAAAAAACAAAGTGTAAAGTGTGTGCACACGCCTCTACTGTACTGTGCGTATTTATAATATAAAATAAGATAATAAATTGAAATATGCGGAAAATGTATGACTAAAAGTGTAAAAGTTCTCAATATCATACATAATTTTTTAAATCTCAATAATATAATTTAAAATGTGACAATATAAAAAATAAAATGTAGGTTGGCACTCGGCAATTTCCGATCTGTCAAATTTTAGTGACAACAAATGATTACAAATGATCAAAATGATCAGAATGATCAGAATGATCAGGAGATTGAGTTTTGCAACGTTAAAAAAAAAAGCGTAGCAATACAACAAAGGAACGGGATCCTTTTGTGCTGATCATCTGATCATCTGATCAACTAATGGCGATGGGGCATAGTGGGTATAGTGGTAATGGTGACATGATTTATACATGATGGCGTTGATGGCGTTCAAATATCTGACAATCACGTGTTTGATACCTTGATCACAACTTTCAGTGCTTCTGATGGAACAAATGTATATTTAAATAGATTATATTGATTTTAATAATATACATTTAAAAAAAATTTTATGGTTTAGAACGTATTCTTCTACGCTTAAATTTTTCACTGATGCGTTTGTTGGATATTAATATCACAAAAAATACCACAAAAAATACCACAAAAATACCACAAAAATACTACAAAAAGGCAATAAAAAAAAAAATGAAATTAGAATGATTATAAATTACTTAATGTATTGTTTATTCCCTCTGAAAAATTATTTACATTTTGTGATTTCTGTAAAAACCCATGGATAAAGCTTTTATTGATCAAGATGGAACTTAAAATTAATTCCGGAAATCCTCTGAAAAATACAGTTCACCCTCTCTATAGCGAATTTTTATATAGTGAATAACTTGCTATAATGAAGAAAAGTTCAGGTAAAGATTTTTTTATATATATAATAAAATGACCCTCAGTATAATGAATTTCTCTCTATACCGAATTTTAATCTCCAGCCCATGAGATTTCACTATAGTGAGGGTAAAATGTAAAAGAAAAAAAATTATTTTGATTAAAAATTCACTATTTTAACTCTACAATATACGATCTTGTCCTTTTCCTTACCATGTTCATAATAATCACAGAATACTCTAGATATTCACTTATTTTGAGTTAGCATGACTCTATGTATTGATTACATATCTTCTTAATAATCAGCAGATGGTAATATATGGTAAGAGGGTATATTTCCAATATTTACAATATAATTCCTTGTACAAGGTTCCGTTCAATTTTCACCACCTCGCCGTTTAGATCTTGCATTGTATGCTATTTTGTAATATACCATATTCACTTATTTTATTGCCTCAAAAGTGTTCGCACAAGTTACTATTTTTGTTTAAAATAATAAACAATCTGTTTACTCTTTATTCACAAATTCAAACAATTTGACCAATCTCATAAAGTCAACCCCCTTTTAAATGTCCATAACAAACAATAACCTCTATGATGCTGCTGCCCAATTTTCCCACACATTATTGTTTTCTTGCTGAATTAAGAAATAAATTAATAAAACTACTAATTTACTAAAATTCTTACTAAACTTATTGAGTAAATCAAGTCCTTAATAAAAATATATATCTATCGCCGATATCGTCTCTTATGAGACCTTCTCTTAAAGGAATTTTCCCATAGAATATTGACCCATTGCAGATAAGACACATAAGTATGTAGTTACATATCTTCCAAATAAATCCTTTGATGACTAAAAAATGCTGTTGTATATAAGAACTTCCAAATATAATTATTATTACTTAGTTATTATATATGTACCTAACCACTTTTTTTTTCAAATAATACGAAAATTAACGGAAACATGAATAATAAAAGAGCAGTGTTTAAGACTATATTGTAATAATAGTTGGCTTTATTTATCTTGGTAAATATGATAAAATAAAAAAAAACTCTTTTCATATCTCCCAAAGTAAAACTATATATTGCTATGATAAATATAAAACAGCCTTTGAAAAAAAAATACTACAAACCTGCTACCTGCCGCGATAAAAAGTCAAGGTATACAAATTTATGTACACTTTTTTACAAATTAAAAGGGTTACAAAAACAAAGTAGAAATATGTTCTGTTTATTGGGATGTTAAACGAACTTCCTCTAATTTGGGTTTGATAAACAAACGTTTTTTAATTGGTTTAAAAAT